CTAACAAGGTAGATTCAATCATTCTCAGTTGGTTTTGGTTTATTCATCAGAAAGAGCGGTTCATTTGGTTGGAACTAGAAGAGCTACATGCAGAAACACTAGTGGACAAAGTTATCTTACTGGTCCTGGCAAGAAGTGATCTGAGTCTAAATAAGGAGAGGTCAAAAGAAGTAAGAAATGGTGAAGGAAGGGAAAAACTATAGAAATTAGTAGACTGTAATATGTAGTGGAGGGTAAGGAAGGGGGTTAGTGGTGACCATAGGCTTGTGAGAGAGTGTTTTCAAGGACACTGATGCTAAGAAACTACAGTCTAGTCAGACTGGTGTTTCTATTTTCAAGAGAAATGAAGAATTCTGTTTAAGATATAAAAAATACACTATCAAGAAGAAATGCATAGTAGGCCATTGGAGATATGAGAAAGAGTTAAAAAAGTAGAGACAAGAAATGCGGATCTGGGACTCTTTAGCTTACAAATAATAGTTGAAGCCATGCATGCATAAAAGCTTTCTAAGGAAATAAGGAAAGTTAAGAGACATGTCAGAGATCCTTTCCAAACATGGTCCTGCACATCGTCTCCACCTTTGACCCAGAAAAGGATCTTTTCCTCCTCCAACTTGACCTTCATAGCATTCTCAGTCTGTGATGAATTCACATTTTGGTGTCAAGGAAATGTCAGTATGATATCAAAAGGTCTTAAGAACTTTCACTTAGAAGTTTACAGTCATGTTATGTTGTTCTACGGAAATAGGAACTTTGATCATCCAACTTTGGCATTATTTTTAAGAGAAGGGATCATTTGCCATAAGGTCTGAATCTGATAAACCCCCAAACTGCTTTTTTTTCTTCAATACTCTGCGGTAATTAACTTGCTGCATTTTACCATTTGTGAATGTGAAGCTTCTAAGAAAACATCAGCATAGATAATCTGTGGCTATTTGAAAAATTCTTAACTGTTATAGATGCTTTTGGTTCTGATAGTGGCTGTCTGTAGTGACAGGCCTAATATCTTAAATTCAGCTGGACAGGAGGTGAATCAGTGATCCCTTGGTAACAATACAGTACTAAAACAACAATTAATTCTTACTTTTCTTTTTTTAGGAGGTGAAGGGATTCTGGAGATCAAACCCAGGGCCTCATGCATTCCCTCAAGACAACTACTCTTACAACTGGGTTATACCCCTAGCTTCAACAATAGTATTTTCTAGCAAATGTTGGATAAAAAAGTAAAGTTAGATTCCAACTGATTGATCAGTGATTGGGAAAAACTCTGCTTTTTTGGTTTTTTTCACTGAGAAGATAAAGTTGACTCCTGGCTATTCACCAATCTCTGTAAGATTTAATTAGTTAACTTAATGATGACTACAAGAGATCCCCAAAACCAAGTAAATAAGAAAATAAAAGAAGGGAGATGATTCATCTGTGTTCTGACACAGATGTGTTCTGACAATTTCCATATAAACCTTCATAGGATGGCTTTAGAATCACTTAGACTGACATTTTTAGGTAAATCATAGTTGTATTTCAAGCTGTCTTGAAATTTCAGGTTATCTTATGGGCTCAGCTGCCTGAGCTGTTGAAGAAACTGAATCCAAGAAAAGTTGCACTGTAATGATCTTTTAGCAGCTACTAAAAACATAAACAGGTCGAAACCTTCACACATAGCAATCTTTATTCCTGTCTCTAGCCATCCTTGGGTCTCGCCTTACCAGTGCAGAAAATACAAAGTAAATGAAACCGTCTACCACTCTACTCACCAAATCTCTTGTCCACCTTTAAATTTAAATTTAATTTCTGGTTCAATGTACTATTATCTTATTTTATTTGAAATACTTGCCTTTATTTTCATCATAAAAGAAATGCTCATTGTGGACAAATTAGCAAATGAGTACAAATGAAAGTGAACTATGAAATGAAAAACTACCTATAAGCCTGACATCTGGAGAGACTCGTTAA